TGGTTTAAGTAGTATCAAACAGTTATTTTTTTGAGAATGTAATGTTTTGAACAATGTAATGAATGTAAACGCTACCAGTTGTATCATTCCAAATGTTGGTGATGTATAATGTTATGTTTCATGTATATGCATTGTGATGGTATTCAATGAGTCACGATAGCCCTCGGACGTTTCCGCCGTCCGGTTCGGGGGTGTGACAGGAATGAACTATGCTTTGTGCTTACAGTTATGTGGTTTAACATTTTTAGGTACTTCTAGTTCTAAATGGAAGGATACGACTTGACTGCACCACATTCTCCCCTATGATTTTCGGCAATGAGGACTTTTTATACTCTTATATTTGAGATATATTATATTATATTATATTGTGATTTTGTAAAAAATGATGTATGAATTTGATGGATTGGAAACCAAAACTTTTTATCAGTGTTTTGGGATGTCACCACAACATATTTTCCCACAATCCACTAGGATTTTGTATGTTAATGATGCCCTATCAAGCACATACTATACTTCCTTGACTCTCCTTCTAGGATTCCTTCCACTTCATATTGCTATTAGTGGAGGAAGAACTTCTACCAATATTAATTAATTATCAGACGAATATAATTACAAGCCGCCAATATCAAACAGTTTGTCGACTGAAAGATTCAACACTACAACGGTTGGACTTAGAAAAGAGATGTGTAATAGTGCCAAATCAAGCAATCTAAAACTATTTAATTATAGGAGCATGAAACCTAACCTATTTGTCAAATAACTAATTAATATCAATATAGTTCCTAAGCAGCAAATAACAAGCAAATCCCTAAGCTATAAGTCATCTTAACTATCAGCCAATTCTAACTTGCAATTCCTGAAAATATCCTTAGCCTAAATACATAACAAATATGCATATTTTGGGAATCACTTTACTTTCTGAGCTGTGGTTGATTGTACGCATCATATTCTTTGTATTATTCTTTTTCTAAAAAGGGTTTGAGTTTGGAATCACACGAGTGTTCAGCCAGTTTTCTAAAACCATGGTTTTGATACCAACTTATAATGTCCCCATTTTCAACCTAAATTTTTCGTTTTTATTTATTCAATGTATCAGAGTAAAATTACATTAGGTAGAAGACATGATGCGAATGCCTATGTGTATAGTCGAGCCTTGCGCTTCTTATAAAGTAATGACGTACTCGAAATAACATTTATAATCAACTGGGTAAGCAAGAAGCTTAGTGAGTTCCCCAAAATACCATATAGCACTATACATATACAATGCATACATATAATGGCCCACGAACTCTTTTTCGATCCGCCAATAAAACACATAATGACCTTCAACATAAAGTTGTTCCACGTCTTGGCCTTCAGGATAAAGCTAGTCCGCCTGAGTATATTGGACTTCAAGATAACATGCAACTAATTAAACTAGTCTATTTGCCTAATTCCATACTATAAGGCAACTATATCCTATAATACAAAGGATACATACTGGAGTATATAACATAGTTAGAAAACCCACATGGATAATTACTCGTACAATTAATAACCATCCTTCTAATGATCCAACTGGAGGGTAACATCTCTATCAAGTACTAACCTACAATACTATAACTTATTATTATCTACGGAAATCCAATAGAAGTTAAATCCTTCACTAATTCCAAATATTCTTTCATGGCTATCAAATAACGATCAAACATGCAGGATAGTTGGGAGGCAAGATCATTTCGACATATAGCTTTTCTGAAATCCATTAACCAAACCAACATGCCCGTGCTAGACACCTTTCCTAAAATTAGACTAATCATATTATTTAACTAAAATAATGATGAATCCAGCATTTATAAGTTCCTAATAATAGATATAAACATAATTATAAGGTACCCTAAAAGCCTAGTAAGAGTAGCTTAACTTACATAGATATTTAGCAAAAAAAACAAAAAAGTTGCGGGCATAGCCTTGATACCGAACACTTCTATTTTTTGGGATCTCCTATGCTGCAATACCATGATAATAAAATCCCATAGAACCTCGCAAAACCATAGAGAAATTGGAACTGGAGAGAGATATGAGAAATTGGTGTGGGAAGTGAATCAGGGGAAGCTATTTATAGGTACATTTTTTGGGATGCGCATCGCACCTGACCAAAGGCATGTAGTCCCATGGCTTGGTTGGCATGCCCTCCACTAGAATCCTGCCATGTGTCAGATTATAGGTGGGATGTATCCCACCTTCTAAAAGGCGTGTGATGCATGCCACACCCGATATTTTAGCATTTTTAAAAAATTTGAATCTTCCTCATACAAGCTCCGTTTTGACGTTCTTTATATCAACACGTAGCTAGTGACAAGTACTAAAACATTTATTTAGACTCTGGTGGCTAATTCTTACAATATTTTTAAAGTTATATCTTAATGAGCTTAGAATGTTAAAGTCCGTATAAAAACCAAAACCTTTTTATATGAGATCTGTTCTCGACTGTGTTTATATCGATGAAATCCTATTCACGAGATCTTCAACTCTTGTTTAGAATGTCTTAGCTAACAATCAACCATTTTGAATTTTGATTTTTGTGTCCACATTGTTGTGCTGAAACTTTGAAAAATCATAGCTTTCTCATATGAAGTCAGATTTCGACGTTCTTTATATGCACGTTCTTGCTTTTTATGACTAGTATTACTTTCATTTAGATTACTTAGCATAATAAGAAATCTATATTCAATTCGTATTTTACGACATGTAGGGTTGAACACAAAACTTCGAAGAATCATAACTACTTCATTCGAAGTTGGATTTAAGCATTCTATATATCTATGAAAATCGCCTTGACTTCGACTACATGTCTATAATGATTACTTTGATTAAAAGGTAATATATCTCTACTTTAAATTTTATAAACAAACGGTTTATATTGAATTCTACTGTAGAGTGAAAATGAGGTGCTAAAAATCATATCACAATTAAATACAAGTGTGGATAATATTTATTAGTAATAAAATTCTAATAAATAATCAATAAGTTATAAATTACTATAAGGTATGACCCTATATGATCATATTTCATTATCAAATATCATTTTATAATGATTGTGGGTCATACAAATCTTTCAAATCCCTCAACTTGAACTCATGGTCTCTCAAATGAGAGATTCACTCCTTACCATTACGCAAAACACCCTTTGATTTTCTATTTAGTAGACTAAATTTGATTCTAGTCATGTTTGTGTTCCTGAGTGTTCGACACCCTTCTTTATCGTAACTATACTATTATACGAGCAGGTTCACTGCATGTGTCTGCATTGGTTTGGTTGTGATAGATTAGGATTTACAATTTTAAAACCTAATAATTTTTAGTATATATATACATCAAAGTTTTTGTGTGCATTGATTTGGTTGTTATATATAAGAATTTATCCTTATAATTTTTAGTACATAAAAATACTCATAAGATTCTAAGGATTTTTTTGCCATAAGGGCAATTTATGAAAATTAGAAATGAATTTTGATCTCATTCGGAAGTTAAGTTAGACTGGAATGAATCGAATAACATCTTCATATTCAATTAGTTTATTGAAGCAGTTAGGATGTTCTAAGGAACTATAGCAAGTCAATAATCACATTAAGCACTTCTGTCCATTTAGTAAGGTTTAATGATCAATAAATACCATTGTTTACTGAGAGGACTTAATGGATTAAGTTAAATGTTTTAGTTGTTAAAAGATCTTATAAACTTGTTTGGAATACCATAGAAATTGCAGAAACCTAGATTTCATCACTAATCCCATCACTAAAAATTAGCCACCACATGGTAGGCAACAAAAAAATTTCATCACCAAACAATACTAGTAACGGATATTAAGATGTCTGAACCTTCTTTCTAGTCTATATGTACTACTATGGTTTGGTTTTGACTGTGTTGTGTTTAGTGTCTCATTTTTTTTTTATCTTTTTGGAAAAATAATCCATGTCTCGACAAAATATATTCCAAAAAAAAAAAAAAAAGTATTAAGATGGGTACTTTAAATCAATACATTTTACACACACCCAAAAACGTAAATAACCTAAAGATCTAACAAATACCTAAAAAGACAAATTCTAATAGTGATATAACCTAAAAATACACACTTCCATTGCTTAACTCAATTACCAAGGTCAGTCCATTGCTTTTGAAGGCACCGTGCTAAAACTAAAAAAGGAAGCCTAAAATTTCGGATTATCAACGGATAGGGAGAAATTAGCGAAAGGGACAGATTAGCGACAGAGTAACGACGGATTAGGAAGGATTAGTGACAGATTAGCGACATATTAAATTTTCGGGCCCCTGAAACTGTGCCATGGCTCACCCGCATGTGCTCAGGACCAGCCCTTAAGGTCAGTTACTCTTTCTCTTATGCTTTTATCCAAGCCTTTTATCGATCAGCAACACATATAATAACTGCATTAGCTCATGAGAATAACAGGGGAGTCCATTCTTATACAACCCATTTTGATTCTCAATTCATACCAAATCTCTCATCGGTGGAATTAAGACCCTTTTTTCCTAAAATAATTTTGGTGTCTCGATTTTCTTCATCCGACTCTTTATCTTCGGTAATATCTTTAGTTTTCTTCAAGACTTCTTTTATCGGTAATATCTTTAGTTTTCTTCGGTAATATCTTTAGCTGGTGGTCATAATAGGGTTTTCTCAATTCCTCTATATATGATACCATATAAAATTTGTTTTTTTCTTGATTTAACATATGTAAATACAATGATTACGGAAAATTGACCCAGTAAAGAATGTTCACACTGTTTTGGAAGGGATCAATTTAATTCTACGATACATAAGACTAAAAATACACGAGAGAAGATTATTTGGTTTCCTTCACATTCTTTCCATATTTGATTTGTCATCTCATGAACAGTAAATGATATGCAAGAAAACACAGAATTCCCTGAAATATTATTACCACACAGAATTACAAGAAATGAGGAGATGGGAAGGTAACGAAAGTAACCTTCTTTTTATACTAACAGTAACTATATATTGACAGATAATCCTCTATCAAAAAATTTAGAGGGCCTGCATCAGATAATCTTTGAGAGGGTATAGCTGTTAGCGGTTTCCTTTTCTTAGTCACAAGCCCGAACTCGTCAGAAAGCTCAAACTCTTCATCTTCTGGTAAGCTCCAGTCAAACGAGTGCAATAGCGATGCTAATATATACATCAAAATCTTCTCCCCAAGTGGGATTCCTGGGCATATTCTTCTCCCTGATCCAAATGGTAAAAACTTGAAATTATTTCCATGATAATCCCATTTGTCGATCAAGAATCTCTCAGGCTTGAACTCCAATGGATTGGTCCAGTTCTTCGGATCCCGATGGATTGCCCAAACATTCATATAGACGATAGTACCCTTCGGAGTGGTGTATCCGGCAACAGTGCATAATTTTGATAGCATCGGGAAAAAATCAGATATATTTGGGGCTTCCACTAACTTCATAATTTTGATCTCAACTTCTCCGAAGCCATCTCCAATAGTGCTAGAATCGTTCCCATCACCAGATTTGCTACAACCCCATAACATACTTGTCACAACATGCATTAACCTCGGTCTTGAATGCAATTTCATTAACATTGATCTTTGTCCCGAGCTTACTGTAAACTTCTTAATTTCACCAGTTTTCTCACTTCATCTGATCGGAAACTCTGACAAGATTTGAGATTTGTATTGCTAAGAACTTGGGTTGCTAAAATCTTTCGCATTTTACGCCAGTGCGTGTTGCTATTGGACCATGCAATATCATTGCCACAATAACTGATGGTTAGTGCTGCTAATGGAGGACTGCGGTTCGCCATGGTCTGGTCTAGGTCACGAGTCACGACCTTTACTAGGTCCATGGAGTTTACCACAACATGAAGCTTTCTTCCGAGCCGGAGACTGAAGATGGGGCCATAACGGTGAGCCATCTCCGTGAACCTTTCGTGCAAGTTGGAGCCGATAAAGGGGAGATACCCTACAACTGGTAAGCCATAGGGACCGGGAGGGAAGGGTGGTATGTGTTTTCTGGAATTATACGATATCCATTTGTAGTTTTGTACCATAGAAGTAGTGTGGGAACTGAAATGGTGAGAACTGTGCGGGCGAGCTTGTCTAGCTCATTGTTGACCTCCCACCACCATAACAACAAGGTGTTCATCGTTACATAAATCTTATATCCAATTTCTGGTATCATTTATGCTACAAATGATAGGCAACTTATGAGGATTCCGCAAAGATATGTCAACACATTCAGTTATGTGGTTGTGCTTCGGCTAACCCTAATATATATATATATATATATATATATATATATATATATATATATATATATATATATATATATTTAACAACGTTATATAAGCTTAGCTACCTAACCTTATCAAACTACGTCATTTTGCATTAAATTTTCATTGCAATCATCCAAGGTTCTTAAACTTCATCCTTAAATTTTATTTACTTCAAAAAAATTTGGAAATTCATCATTATATTTCTCTTACATCCTTTCATTTGTAGAAGTAGGATTTGAATTCCATCAGGTGGTATTCGATAGAAAGACGTGATATAAAAGAAAGATATTGGTGAAAGTTCAAAGATTTTGGAAGTAATCAAGTTATGGGGTTGAAGTTTAAGAACTTTAGGCAACTACAATGTAAATATGATACAAACCGATGTAGTATTATGGAGTTAGGTACCTAAACTTATATAAAGTTGTTAGGTATATTCACTTTACCCATATATATATATATATATATATATATATATATATATATATATATATATATATATATATATATATATACATACTACCTTATAAAAAAATCTAACTTTTTTTAAAAATAGATTGAATATAATAATAATATTTTTTTAAAACGTCCAAACCTTTAAGCTAATAGTACAATAAACCATAAAATGATATTAAATTTTAACCCACGTTTTCAATAACAAATCTCAACAATTCCCGGTTCATTCAAAATTTCAAACTTTTTTTAAATGTGCTTCAGCAAATATCCATTAACTACGGAGTCATGATCTTCTTAAACAGCTGCTTCTTTTCTTCTTCACACTTTATCCCTTCTGTGGACGTCTCTTCAATTCCAACGCCGCTTTCAAAGCAACTAATTCCAGCCACATCTACACCACATGGTCCACATCTACACTATACATCCTTCTCCTCCATAACCATTCATCTCTCTCTTAAAAGATCCTCCTTGCTTTTCCCCAAAATACAGAACAGTTGTTCTCACCTCTTCCGACGCAATCACAATCAAAGGTATTTAGACGGTGAAGGTTTGCTTTTTTGCTTTGATTTCCAGTTTCACCACATGTAGTTGCTTTTAAGCACTTGGAATGAATTTTAAGCTTATTTTGGTTACTATTAGTGATCTAAGGGGCGATTTGGGAAATAAGGAGTAATATTGGATCATGTGTTTGGATGGTATCGACATACAATTCTATAAATTTTATACATCAAGAAATGTAAACATCTTATGAAGGATATTACTTTCTCCTTCAAATACCACCGCCACCAGCAACCATTAACAACCATTGTCGCTCTCTCTCTAAACCTAATCTTTCTCATATGTTGTGGTTGGCGACCTAACGCCTCACTGGCTACCTGAACCCCTATCGATCTTCATAAGCAGAACCAAGTAAGCTTTTATATATGTTTTTTACATATAAATGTTGAGTATCTGTTACATCACAGCCAAATCTTGTTGATTTACTTTTTTCTTCAAATAAAACTTTGATTTTGATTTTTAGTTTTAGCAGTAGAGTAACTTTGAAGGAGAACGATATATGGGTTCTATGAGTAAAGGGTTTGGATTTCTTTGATTTATTACCCTGTATCTAAACTTACGCCCATCTTTGTGTTTCAATTCTCAGTCTCAGATTTGAACCCCTCTTTGTGCTTCTTTTCTCAATAATCAGATTCGATCTTATAATTTTCTCATTTTCTTTTTGTTTTGTTTAGTCAATTCTCAGCTTTTATCAGTTTTATTTAATCAATTCTAACATCTTTTTGTGCTTCAAATCTCAGCCTCATGTTCGACTCAGTCTCAAGTTAGAACTTTCAAGGGAATATGTTTTTTGTTGACCATTGGTAATGCCCTGCATGTTTCTATCTATCTTGAGATATAGTCATTATTTAGAAATTCTTTATTTTCATCTACATTTAATCTATCAATAATGGTGTATAAATGTTTGCAGAAAGTCATCTATTCTACTTGGATTTTCTTTGACTACACCCCTCATGGTAATAGAAAGACATGTGGCTAACTCAAAGGTTTACTCTCCATAGTATGAATGGATGTGGGGTTGTTGATTTAGTTTCATAGACATATACGCACACATCACTGCATCCTGGATTGATGATGTTGTAGAATTTTATATGAAATTTGTTGTTTTTTTGTAGGTTACATTCTCTTTGTCATGAAACCTACCCATTTTGCCCCTGATCGGGAGCTTTGTTTGTTTGAGATAACAATATTTAATATATGCCAACATTGAGCAATCATAAACCAAAGTGCTTTGTGTATTGACATATCTTTTACTTAAACAGTTATCTTTATGGTTTTCGTCCCAAAAAGAGTTATCTTGCTTCTTAGTTTTTCTTTTTAAGCTTATTGAAAGTTTTGATCCATATTATAAGTAAAAAGATTGTCTTTGGGGCTTTGGGGTTAGAGTAGTGGTGCCATATTAACCTAATAATAAAAAAGAATGAAATTGATGTTCATAAAAAGACCAGATAAAGGTGTATGTTTAGAGTTCCGGAAGGTGATTCACTATTTAACTTTTCACTAAATTTTTTCTTGGTTTGGTATGATTACAGGTTTTAACATTGATTTCTCTTATTTTGATTTTATGAATTCAAGTCATTTATTTATTAATTTCTAAGACTATCTAAAGTCAAAGGGAAAAAGTTGGGGTTTCTTTAATTGTACTCTATATTTTTAATCTTACTCTATATTTAATTATCTCATACAAATTAACAGAGCTTTGGATGATTTTTTGTACATTGATGGTCCAGGTAGGTGTGAATGCAAAACAATTAAAGTTTGGCTACCAGTCTAAACTCATATGGCTGTCTCCATGTGTGAAATTCTCATATTGACCAAGCATTTGGGTCTGATAATCTTGAGCTGCATTTTATGAGGTTCAGTTGATCTATAGTTTGATTTCTATTTTTTATTTGAAATGCTAATGTTTGAGTTGAATCTAAGTTTCCCATCTTTGAGTTTGGCATTTAGTTTTAGTCCTGGTGTTCTTGGTTTTGTTCTCTTTCACACTGGTGATCTCTTTTACTTCTAACTAATTTGATGACTGTTGGTTAATTGATTCAAAATAATCACTGTCATGTGTCTTTAATTACTGCATTAGTAGAGTCTTAAAAGTTGTTTTTCAGTTACAAAAGTCAAGAGTCTTAGTCTGTCTTTTTATCTTTCTTTCAGTTCATGTTTTTGTTTCCTATTTAAGCTTTGTAGTTTCTCAGTTTTAAACAGCAGTGAAATATTATCCATTTTTCCTCTTCTTCTATTTACAAACAACAGTGGTATCAGAGCAGTTCCAGGTTCTGATCCACTTCTTTCTTTATCAAGCAAAAGAAAGGAGTAACTGAGTGAAACACCTAAGAGAGATAGCAATGGCAAGCAACAACAACAGTTCTGCAACTCAGCCTCTGATTCCAGTCTTCAAAGGAGAAAAGTATCATTTGTGGAGTCTAAAAATGAAGACTTTGTTCAAATCCCAGGAGCTTTGGGAATTGGTGGAGAATGGATACACAGAGCCAACTCCAGCACCGGCTCAACCAGATCAACCGTTGCGGGACACTCGTAAGAAGGATGCAAAGGCTCTTCTATACATTCAATCGGCGTTGGATGATGAAATATTTCCTCGTATTGCTGCAGCATCAACATCCACGGAGGCATGGGAAATTTTGAAGCAAGAATATATGGGTGATAAAAAGGTAATCACTGTGAAACTTCAATCACTTCGTCGTGAATTTGAAACTTTGGTTATGAAAGAAAAGGAATCTGTGCAAGTATTTCTTTCTAGAGTATCTGGACTTATCAGTCACATGAAAACTTATGGTGAAAATGTTAGTGAAGAAACAATAGTAAGCAAAGTCCTGCGAAGCCTGACCAAGGAATTTAATCATGTTGTTGTCGTGATTGAAGAATCTAAGGACCTATCAACTTACACGTTTGATGAGTTGATGAGTTCTTTGATTGCACACGAAGAAAGGTTAAACAGGGGCAGCGAAAAAGGTGATGAGAAAGCATTCCAAGTAAGAGGCAATTCTTTTAAAGGCAGACCAGAAAAATCTGGTGGTTCTTCCGGTGGTCGTGGGCAAGGAAGAGGCACTTTTCGAGGTCGTGGTCGTGGAAGAGGAAGAGGAAACTTTGCAGATCAACGTTACCAAAAGAGCAACCTGCAATGTCGGTATTGTAATAGATCTGGACATGTTGAAGCTGATTGTTGGACCAAGCAAAAAGATGAAAATAAAGCTAACTTTACTGAAAAGGTGGAAGAAGAAGGTAGGCTATTTATGACTATGTCTACAACTACTAATGTTTCAGATCGTGTGTGGTATATAGACAGTGGATGTTCGAATCACATGTCTGGTTCAAGATCTTCATTTCGAGATCTTGATGAAACAAAGAAAAGTGAAGTCCGACTTGGGAATGACCGAAAGATTGAAGTTAAAGGCGAAGGTACAATCACTATTGAAACCATGCAAGGTAATACTAAAGTTCTTCATGATGTTCAATTTGTACCAAGTTTAGCATACAACTTACTGAGTGTTGGACAGCTAATGAGAAGTGGACATCGTGTAGTATTTGATGATGACACGTGTTCCATAATTAACAAGAAATCTGGGCAGCCTATGGCAATTGTCCAAATGACTCAAAATCAAGTGTTCCCTCTCGATGTTACAAAAGATTATAAAGCCTTAACGGTTAGTTGTGATAATGAGGCCAGGCTTTGGCATCTACGATATGGGCATTTGAATGTAAATGGGCTGAGATTGCTAAGCAGAAAGGAGATGGTTTTCGGGCTGCCA